AAAGGGATTCACATGCTCAAGGAGGAACGCCGTTTTATCGGGACCTGCTGGAGTTAGCTAGGCGCTGTCAAGGCCGCAAAATCACATTAGGGAAACCGATTCCTTAGAGTCAACAAGTCATTTTGCATGAATTACAATATACTCTCGTCAATTGGTGAGTCCTGAGACAGGCAAGCTATTGCTAGGCTCTACGGGGTTGTTCCGTTTACCACAGGAGTGTTACTCGATCCTTTCGTTAATGATAGCATATATTCGAATTACATGGCCCCATAAATTCCGGGTACTACTCCCCATAAATTGAGTTAGTGACCACGAGTACGAGCTGCGCCGATCGAGTTCATTCGACTCCAACCAAGACGCAGTTCGGCATAAGCTCCTGCTATCGCCAAACATACTGGTCTCATAAATTCTCCTTAAATCTATATCAATTCTTTCCCGTCGTTTACAGTTTCCAATTTCCACTTTGTATCACAATCATGGCAACGCCCAACCCAGCACGACTGTCCGCCATCGGTAGCAAGACGCTAACGCTCGCTATGGAGAGACAGAGGTTGCTCTCCATCTCTCCACCAATCCATTCACCGTTGAAGCCGGCTGGTGGTGCTTCTGGTGGCTCAACGAGTATTGGACAAATCACGAAAAACATGACAACCCTACGGGACGGAATCGTCGCGATAGAGACTGCACAAGGAAGCAGTAATCAGACGGAGTCTCTGAGAGAACAGTATAATAGTATACTTGGTGTTCTTGGAGAGGAGGAGGTGGCTGCTGCCGGACTACCAAGGTGCGTGGATGCACGACTGCGGTCGTGTGCTACGTGATCATGAGCAGATCGCTGACGATGATGATATTGGATTCATTAGCATGCCACCTCCACCGCAAAAACCCGCGAAATCGCTGCTACCAGCCCCGTCGTCGCCACCGCAGACTTCTTCTCCCTTCAGGGACGATCCGGAGCAATCCAATGGGGACATGTATTTACAGCAAAAGCAAATTATGCAAGGTAGGAGACCTCATTAATCTCGTGGTTATTGCAAGGATTGACATCGGGAATGTCCATTTTGCAGACCAAGACACCCAATTAGATACACTCTCGCACTCGATAGGAAGACAACATCACCTTTCTCTCCAGATCAATGATGAGCTGGGAGACCAGGTTGGTTTGCTAGATGGACTGGATGATGACCTTGATAGGACTGGAATGCGATTGTCTAGGGCCCAGAGGACTTTGGACAGAGTGAGCAGAGGTACCAAGGACAATTGTAAGCACAAAAAGCCCCACATCTTCCCTGTCATATTCCCCCAAGGGCGCACTCCTTTGATAGAAGCAAGACTTTTTGACATTTTTCGCTTTCGCAGGCTCGGCTGTGACCATCGCGATTGTCATCTGTATCCTACTCTTGCTCATAATCATCTTCAAGACATGATAAGAGTCTCCCTTTATCTGTACTCTGGCCGATCCCCTCTGCTATATTATTCAAGATCTTGTTATACCTATGGTTGTTCGAGTATTCGGATGCAATAATATTGGAATCATGGCATTCTCCTACTGGAATCTGAGCTCAGACGAGCACTTTTTGCGCGATCCCTACCATTCAAATAAGGCGATGAGTAGATTTTGGCTCAACCGATTTCCCTGGCCAGACTGGTGAACAGCTGAATGTGCTGACAAGACGGATCATGTAAATGTCGATGTGTCAGTGGCACACTCAGAGCTTTTATCTACCCTGAGCAGATGCGCTCTGCCATGCGAACCTGCATGGATTCTCCTGCCGCGCTGCAACTCGGCAGCACGACCATCCTGACATGCTACTAATGTGTCAACTCAAACTGCTGTATACATGCGGCCCACATGCACCAAACGACAGGTTTGTCCGCCTAGATATGCCATTAGGGGGGATCGCTGTTGCCTGTTCTCACAATGTGTACACCTCGTGCTATACAGCGGTTGAATCTGTAAATTTAAGCTACTATAGTAATATTATGGCATATTTACGCTGGGTGGGATGGAGAAACTCTGATTTCCAGACATATGACGTTTTCCGGATGGGTTGGCTCCTCGCTGCGGCCAGTTTTACATGACCGATAGGCCAACCTTAGCCCTCCCCCCCCCTTCTCGAATGAAACATCTTGCAACACGGTTATTGATGAGAATGGATGGATTCTTTTCTACTCGACGCGTGATTGCAGGGTGAGTTTTGCCAACGAGCACCCCGTTTCTCACTGTTGTTGAGAAGCAATCGCGCTTCCCCAGTCAACGCCTGTTCGCACACCTGGACCCGCGTATATATCCATCCATTCAGATCGATTATGTACAGAAGAACTGCGAAGAAATTGGCTTTCTCTAGCTGTCACAGGGAGCAAGCCCAGTCCGATAATACGATGCGCTGACGGAGAAATACCCCCCTGGCCTGCAATCTTCCACCCTTTCACCGCAACAAAATTTGGGACTCCAGCAACGGGGTTCTCACATCGTATTTCCAAAAAGGCGAGCGATATCCAGTCTGCTGGCCGGGTGCTGTCGTGGCTTTTCAGTGATCCACAGGTGCTCAAACCAAAAACCTCAGACAGGGCCGGTCTTACTCGACTCCGTTTACACAGTCGAGCCCCTTTGACGTCCCGTTCCTAAATTCAAATCCCATTCAACACGGGTATTTTCGCCACCTTCTATTACATAAAA